CCCCATTACGGCATGCAAGGCTACGGTGGGCGTATACACTGTGACTGCAAGGTTCAGAATCTGACGCACTACGAAGGTAGCTGCTGCCAATCGACGAACAGAGTTGGTGCCAAAACGCATCTGGAATTCATAAGGTAAATAATATATATGATAAAAAGAAATAAATTCAACTAAAACGTCAATTTAATTCACATATACTGAAGAAAAGCTTTCATAGATTTCTGACAGGTAGCAAGCACTTAGAGAAACTCGTAAGGTCTACTGACTCGTTCTTTAGCTAAGTTAGGAGAGCGATAGCGCCGGTGTAACCAGGTCACTGATTCGAGTCTAGACGGATAGAAAGAATTTTTCTTTATGTTTGTTCGACATCTATACTGTAAACAAATACAATTTCGTTGAACGAAACTCGTCTATACTGTAAAATTATTCAATTAGAGGAATTTCTGTCGGGTATATATTATAAAACATTTGTTACACTTTTTTGGTTTGCGCGTTGGTGTTCGTAGAACCGAATACCTCATTACTCGCAGGTTTCTCGTCGGTACGACCTATCGTGCCGACGAGTAACCGATTACGGTTTTGAGGTATTTCGCAACGCCTTCGAAGCAAGTGATATTTAATTATCTACTTAAACATTACCTGTAAGTACTCGTAGACCGAATTGGTATGTAGTCTGTAGTATACAGGAATAAAGACCCAGCACACAATAGGGAAGGCCAAGGCTATCCCGTATAGGGTTTCCCACATCGCCGTGCCGTAGTATACCAGCTCTGACGGGAAACCTGCAAAAATAAAAAAAATCCATTCAGGCCTGTTCATGAAACTTATAAAGAGCTGAAACGTTGGTTTGTTTGAAAAGACATATACCATTTGATTAGGGCTATTTTTAAAATACTAAGAACCACGCAGGACTATATTATAAACGTCATAAACAACCATTTTTGTTGTCAGAGTCATGAGTGAAGTTCTAGTCTAGATAGTCTTTTAACACAAATAATAGTTAACAATAATGTTTTTGAACTTGAGTCCCTGATCGCGACCGGCTGTGTCATTTAGCGATGCGCGATTGCGAATGATTACGATATTCGACTCTTTAGTAATTACTCGAATGACGAATTAGTAATCTATTAATTTTCGTATTCGAATGATTATTCATTACTAATCCATAGATTTTTAGATTTAACTGCCTCTGTGGCCGAATGGTTACCATGCCGGACTGCCACGCAGAGGTCGCAGATTTTATTCCCGGGCCGGGAGAAATATTTGTGTGGCCTACATTTATTTCCCCCGTGGGTTTGGGTGTAATTTGTGGTTGTCTATACGTAAGTCCATGGTACCCGCGACACAGGGTTTCCCTAGTGCGGGGCTATGTTGAGTGTGTGATTCTATTTCTGCCTATGGTAATTGCCCGTTAGGACAGGGATATTTTGATATGGACATGGTGAATGATCTGATGGAAAGTCCCGGCATAATAATCATTCGACAATTATTCGACTCGACTCGAATGATTGAAAAGTTAAAGATGAATTTATTTGAATATAACTTATTGTAATACAATACAAGTAACACAAATGCAAATAAATTCAATTAAAGATTTTCATTCTCTATGTTTTAAACGTACATTAAAAGTGTTTTAATTGAAAAGTCATATTACAAAATTGTACACTACGTGTTAGATAAAGATGTATGGAAAGACAACGTGAGTCTAGATTCCACACAAATACGATTCAAAGTGTATTCCATAGCATATAAGTTTATTTGAAAAGAGCAATCCCTAGAGTTTCTTGCTCGTTCTTCTCAGGGAAGTCAGCGTAGTGAACGAGCAGTAACTTAAAATTAACGTTTTAAAGTGTAAAAATTTTACCTACAGAATAAAGCTATATTAAGAAGGGAACCTAAATTATACAAACTTCATAGTGAAGCTTTTAATACTAGAACCTAATATGTAATGGCGATGCCTAAACAAAGTAAATGTGTACGTGTATTTTAGGCAACGTGCTTGGATTGGACTCAGGCGACAATTCAGAGTCATTCAGAGCCCCGCATCGCATCGCCTCAAAATTAATCTTTAAGGCAGGAAACGAGAATCTATTATCGCTAATTTCCGGGTCTTAAACTACGGAATTATCTGTACTATGAGTACCAAAGCAACGGAATTCACTCTGGGGCAGCACTCAGAATGTCCAGGCCAGAAGTAATTTAGGAAAATTAGTCTTCCAAATCGGTCTTGCCGTAAAATAAAATCCAAAACCAATTGAGTTACCGAGATCGTCAAAATTGTGCTGACTTAGATGTTTTAGAGATACAATGGCTATTCTAGAAAGTTATCGATTTATCTTTGTTTTTAAGCTACACTAGCGCTACACGTGACATGTGGCTGTCGTTTTCAACTTTCATCAAAAACATCACTATTCTAATCTGTTGTCATAGACAAAATTATGATAGAATAATTAGATAAATTTTCACTGTAGTTCTTGTGAACCATGTGGTCGCCTACAATTTGCCATAAAGGTATTTGTTCACAGTTCTTTGCAATATTACAAATAATAGAATAGAAACTATTTATTGCAACGATACAATATTAAAAAAACACAAAAAACGAATATAAATAAAAACGGAAATAACACAAAAAACAGCGTAACAAGACTAAAGCGACATTACTATACTGACACGTGTGCGGCTGTGGCGTATGCAAAAGGATTCAGCTAAAGTCACAACCAAGACTAGGCTGTGACGCTGGTTTTCAATGGGCCCTACACTGTGGACACGGTACTTTTTAAGTTAATCGCCTACCTCATTAAGTCCGTCGCGTGTAAAAAACAACGTGTTAAATAACGTGAATGACACATAGCACATTCGGCACGTATTGTTTATCGTGTGACTGAACAAAACGGATAAGAAGCCACAAAAACTCACTGTACCTTGTCAACAGCATGCCACAATGGTAATTTTAATAAGCCGACGTATAGTAAAACTGTATTAAACAAAATAATATACGTAGTAGTTCAATGGTTCGACCTACCGCCTCTCAAACAGTGGCTGTGGTTTCGAATCCTGTCTCGCGCCTCAGAGTTTCTTGAAATTTATGTGCGAAATTTAGTTTCCAGTGAAGGAAAACACCGTGAGAAAGCCTGCACGTCGAAGAACATTCACAAACCTCGGAAACCGTGTGAAGTCCATAACCCACATTGGGCTAGTGTGAAAAGTGGTCCCTACTATAAAATGAGATCCGTGCCCAGCAGTGAGACGCATGACTACCAGATAATGGCATTCACTCCGGATCATTGCCCGGAACACCCAGACGTTTGGTCCTACCGGGAACCGAACTCGGCACGGCTTGCACCCACTGTGAACGCAACCGTTGGGCCACCGAGATCATTATCATCAATCAAGTTGTCCAAAAATTAAGCACACTTTATATACAACAGGGTTATGATCAGATATCTTAATAGATTAGATTATAATATTTACTTAAACTTCAAAGAAGAAATATACATAGAGTGAATCATACCTCCTTCTAAATTACGTATTGTATCATTATTAATACAAAGATCGAACAAATAAGAAAAAATTCCTTCGATTGGACTGGATGGAACCGTTTATAGCAAACTAGTGCAGTCTTCTTTTGTCTGGCCTTATTCCCATTTATTTGGAGTCAGCCCTTCTAGTCACTCCTCCAAGACGGTCTGTCCTTGTGGTCTTAACTAATGCTCCCGCAGATCTTTATTAATAAGTGACATCCATGTGAGGCGGAGTCTACCCCGTCTCTTGGGCTGGCAGTAATTTCACAAAAACGAATGAATATCATGGTGGTCACACATCGTGATATTCAATAAAGTTAAAAAATATATGGAAAGTCGCTACATTTTCCTTCTGCTTGCTGTTGGGAGTTGTCAGGGTAGCGATGCTGAAAAACTTGTAGCAGATATCGGACCGACGGCTAAGAGAGAGTGGAGATGACTCTCGCGCCACGTTGTTCTGGGCGCAAAGATTGTCCATTGCCATACAGCGAGGAAATGCGACAAGCGTGATGAGAAAGAACTTACTTGTGAAAGAATTCATCCAGGTTAGTGCTACCATATCTATTTCTGCCGCCAAGCCGTAATGTCAGCATTACTTTGTTCCGGTTGCGAAGGGTAACGGTGTTGGTAAAATTACAGGCACATGGGACTTGTCAACTTCTTACTAGCCTCGATCGAAACTCAAGTCTGTAGGTCTTCCATTTTGGGTAAACTACGGATTTTATGCTTCGAGAGTACGACCTCTGAATTTGTTAAACAAAATAACTGGACTAACTAGCGGCATAAATTCACACTTTTAACCACTCGTATACTGGATTATTGAATAACAAAACCATTAACTGCGCCATAAAATCGTAAAAAGTCGTTAAGATAATATCCAAAGAGAAATGTTGATTAATTTTCCTCATTATCAATGGACTATTCAACAATCCGTAAAAGCTAATAAGAATTGAACTCTAGCCATGTTACGGATATACAAAGAACTTTTTTTCTTCACAGTAGTTCTGACTGAAATAATCAGATGGTTCACCTGATGGAAAGTAACCGCTGGCTATAGACATTTCATCGTTGGAAGTAACTAATAATTTTGACAATAGCTCATAGCCTCCACTACGGTAACCCTGTATTGCTGGTGCCATAGACACACACACACACATAGATAACGGCAAATTATACCCAAACTCACGTGAGAAATAAATGCAGGCTGTACAAATATTTCTTCTGGCCCGGGAATCGAACCCGGGAGGCTGGTCTGCCTGGGAGTCCCTCCCATGGTAACTGTTCGGACACTGAGGCAGTTAAATGAAAATATAGAAATGTCGAAAATTAAACATTAAATCCAAGGATTTGTCATCCATAAATTGGAACACTGTATAAGTACATTATATTAATCAATAACGTAATTGTTTTTAAATAGCATAAGATTTTTCTCAGACATTCGTACTTTTGGTAAATTGTAAATTTTTAGCGATATTACAAAAATACTTTTCTGAATGAATTTGTTATTTTGCAGACGTGGTCTTATTATACCAATGTTGCGATGTGACCTCCTATATTGTCATCCCACCTTTTATCACCTTTTATCGCACTTCTTGTCACCCTTTTTTCTGGTTCCTAGCAACTAAAGGACGCCATTCCCATCAAAATTCTCAAACCGAGAGGTCGTGCCTTCTTTCTAGTAAATTTATACATTTTATACGTCAAAATTTTCCCATGTGCATTTTATAACGAAGAAACACTTGATATGAGTTTATTTTGACATACACCTATTAAGCTACCATAAACAGTTAGTGATACGTCAAGAAATTTAATGATAAACATCTACAAGGACATCACCAGAGCTCGGAAGGCCACATTGGCCGAGAAAAAACCTCGGGACATGCTTGGGCGGTGCCAGTGGGCACTCCAAAGTTGGGAATTAACGGCACTAAGTACACATACTTAAGACCACAAATGCGTTTCCGGACGGGAAACATAATCCAGTAATGACAATTCGCCCGAACTAGTGTTTGTGTTAGGCTTCCTTCAATTTGAACAATAGCTGTTGAGGCAGAAAGACTTACCCTTGGCACAAGAAACTAACTGATAAGGTAACAGTGCTGCCGTTTCAGAGGGCAGAAGAAACTGGTCTAGCTGGACCATGTTTGGTCATTACTTATAAGTACGTACGAAAAACTAGCTATGAATGAAACGTTTTTCATTGGCAATGAAATTCGTAGAAATATGCATGACGACCTCGACGGCACAGCGGTTAAGCATTC